AATATTGTTTAACTCGATTATGTTGAATTGGTTTTTTATCTTTTAGTTCGAGTTTTGGCTCTAATTTATCATTAATAGCCGTTTAAAAGAGGCGACGTTTAAATCATTTCAGTTATTTCAGTTTCTCTTTCAGGTTCACCTAAGATCAGTAGATACCTATTTAAAAATAACACACATATATATATTTATTTATAATATTAAATCTTCCTGGTTTGTTCGGCGTCTTCATTTTTCTCAGTAATTGGTCCACCTGGACGTTTACCTTTTTTCTAAATGTGAAATCTAAATTAGCTAAAGCTAGCTGTTATCTTCCAGGAAGCAACGGTACATTTACATAAGAGATGTTTTATTTGTTGGACAAATCCAGGCTTTGCTGATAACTCAGACTGTTGATTCAGCCCAAGTTCAGGCGTCCAGTTGGTGTCAAGTTCACACAGGGCCAAAGTCTGTTCAGCCTCCAGCTCCAAACTCTGACATTTAGACCCCAAACCTCCAGACCTGCTCTGCATTCATCTCCCACACCAGGTTTAAAATGTCATGATTTGCAAAAGTGAATATTCCACAAGGATACAAATGATAAGAATCAAACCAAAATGATCTTCCTGCCTCTCTCTGCCCCCTGCTCTCCTCTCTCCCTCTGTGCTGGAAAGCTGGAAAACACCTGGAAATGACTAAAACACAGCTCTGCTCATTGTTGCAAGTGTGAAAAATATCCAGGCTGTGTGATTTATTGACTGTAAAAGTCCCCAAACTGAGAGCCAGGGAGCTCTGACACCTCTCCCGTGGATGCATGATGTTTAGGATTTATGGTCTTTGTATTGTGAAAGGGAGAGGGGCTGAAACCTGAGACGGTCCCGCTCGATATTTGTTGTGGAAAAAAGAAAGCACACACATGCTCAATGGGGGAACAAACACAGTTTGCCACTTCTTTGCACCCAAGGCCCTGTGATCTTTAAACTCTGAAAATACAACCTCTATAAACCAGCTTTTTTTATTGCTATGTGATATGTTTCCTTCTCTGGTCCACATACGCTTTCATTCCCTCTTGCTTTATGCCACTGACTCCGGTCTTAAATTGCTGGGTGTGATGGCTTACGTCATGTATTGAAACTTCCTCTTTCTCTTGAGTGAGGTGGCTGCAGAGTTACTTGTTGAGTCAGTCGGTGATATTGCTCACATCTCAGAGATGAACGTTCAAACATGCTGGCAGTTTCCGAGCCTGTAGTTGTGTCATTTTCTGGATGGGTGACTCACAGTGAGTCCCACTGGGCTAGTCCAGGCAGGCACACGTAGTCGTCTAATCCAACCAGAAAAGGCAGGAGGAAGAATGTTAATGATTATCTTCATGCTGCATCTAAAGCACATTACCCAAACACATGACAGGAAGACCAAATTAACTACCGTCCAAAAGTTCACTTTCCCAACATAAGAAATGGTTAAATGATAATACATGAAAATCAAAATTGCTCGGCCGACGTCCCTTGATGAATTACTGTACAGCGTGGTGAACATGATGTTTCATGTGCTCTCGCTCATTTAATCAGTAGCATGCTTTCGGTCACAACATATTAGCAACAACACGGTTCTAATCCGTACACATCTGTTTAAGCATCCCAACTTTTTCTATGGCATTTTTGTGACTTTGCTGGTTGAGTCTGTGTTGAAATCTCAGCATGACCCTTGAGGAGTTTTCACACCTTTGTCAAACATGTACAACTAGTTCTAAAAAGATTTGTAACCCAGGTTTTTTATCACATATTGAATGTCAGGGGACTCTGTGGAGACTAGGATATTAGTTTGGGTTCAGCAGACTCAAATCACTGTGATAAACATCTCAGTTTTCATGTGTGAAGACAACCGTAGATGATGTTCTTTTACTTTTCTATTTGTGTCACACTTTGTACAAAGTACAATTGCAGATCTACAGAGACAGAACCAAATCTCCCTTCTTAAAAACGGTCACACTTCTTCCTTTGTGAAGCCTTTACAGGCTGTAATTGCCATCACAAGACTAAGTAGATCAACTTAGTGTTAAGTGGAGGAGCGTTGTATGACTCGTAGCCTTTGTCAAACATCCCCCCCCCTCGAACGCAGCGCTGTGTGACGCTGCTGCTCTCGCGATGGTGATGGCGGATCTTTTGTGTGCTTTTGGCAATTACACAATCTCATTCATTACTCGACTGCTCTCTGGCCGACTTCCAGCTCATTGGGGAAATACTCATCTTTAATAAGTGTCAGTGCCACAGAAAACAAAATATGTTGATTACAGATTCCCTGTTGTGTGTCTGCAGTGTTTTCTCACTGTGACCTTGCTGTTTCCAGAAAACTGTCTTCACTATGACAAAGCACCAGGATGCCAGATGGTCATATACAGTGTGAATGTGTTTGTGCACTATATGTGTATGTTTTCCAGATGTGTGTAACCCCTGAGTGACTGAGTCAAATCTTCCAGTAAACCCTCAGTCGTAACCTCTGGGGATGGACAGACAGCCTGGTTGTGCCTTTATTTCACATTTTAGTTGTTACATTGTTCATTTGTTTGAGAAAAGCTGAGTTAAATCAAATAGTTGATTCAATTAATTAATATTAAGTCAATTAACAGAAAATTATTCTACAATGATTTGAACATACAAGCATTTGATTGAGACATTTATCAAGCAAACAAAAAAACCCTTCCTCTTGTCCCAGTTAATCAAATTTAAGGGATGGCGCTGTTTTATTTCTGAGTGGACTGCTGCTCGGAAATAACTAAATATATTAAACATAAGATTATAAGATATTTATTTCATGGGTGACTGTGCGTACATCTGCCATTTTATGTATTCATTCATATTGGAATATATCCGTATCAATAGTGACAATGATTTCAATCGTACAAACCTAGCCTGACATCACTGTGTATGAGATTCATTTTGTTGTTAAAGTAAATGTGCAGTATGTGGTTGAGGCTGTGTGTGTTTGAATCCATCTGTTCAACAACACCAGAGGTCACAGTAGGGTTAGATGTCATTGCCTTATAAGGGAGTCTAGATCATTGAGTACATCGTGTGCTTCCTTCTCTGTGATGATTCAGTCAGTACAGACCTGAGCTGAAGTGCAACAGACACACAAGACCGGTGATGTCCAACTGGGAGTCAAATATGTATAATGTAACAAATGCTACTTTCAACTGCCGTATTAGAAATTGTGGTTACGATGTGGGAATGTACCTGTGTACCTATTATTAACATTATGGGGAGAAGCCACAGAAGCTATTACACATAGAAAGTAATGCAGAAAATGCAAAGGCTTAATGGAAAAGATGAGACTGTTCTTATAAACTTTTTCCTCAAATGTATTATATGTTTTCAAAGTATAACATTACAACATATTACCATCCAATGAAAACTGTACTTGCATTACCTACCGCCATTTTTAAAAACATCTGCAAACACGTCACAACTTGAGAAGTGGGGAAATTCCTAGGGCTGAGGTCATGAATACCTCAAGAGAACATGGTAAACATGACCCCATTTGAAGGCAGCGCTACATAAAAGACAGTAGATGCACGTCACATTTGTAGCGGTTTTGTGTCACTGTGTGTGTCTGTGTGTTGTTGTTGTGACAAGCCCAGCATCTGCTTTTGTAATCCCCTGCTTAAAGATGGCGAGAATGCAAGAAGCCCGTCTGCTATTCCAGTCAGTCTCGCTATGATGAGACTTCAACGTCCTCTTTGGAAATTGATGTTGATGATTTTCTGTTTGGCCTGCTTCACCACTGTGTGAACATCTGGTTTCTCTCAGAAAGATTCTCTCTCTGTGTTTCTTGTCATGTTGTTACATCTCAGGTAGCTCAAAGTTCAGAAACATCACAAGCTCCATTGTGGAAATGAAGTTTGTCCTGAGTTTTGATTTCATTTAATAAGCCCAAAGATGCATAAACATGTAGCTTGCTGATATGTTGAAGAATAACATTGAGTGTTTGGTCTGCAGTTAAAAACACAAATGTCACATCTGTAGAACATTTCATTCCTGTCGTATTGTAGTCTAATCATGTACTTTCTAATAATAGAAATGACGTGCAGAAAGACCTTCATGCCATTAATCAAATCAGATACCACTGTCTAATGAAAGGCTATATTGGATAGAGAGCACAGATGCTTTAAGAATGTATTTATACCTTTACATCTCTGAATCAATATATATTGCAGCAAAAGACAGAAGGGTTCACCTCCCCACATCTTCTCCTCTGTCCTCAGCACCTGTTTTATTACCAGAAAAATACAGTACTGTCCCTGTCTCTCCCCTTCGTTTTCCTTTCTTCAGTCTCCCCCCTTTCTCCCTCTCTCAGCACCTGTGTTAGTGGAGGCATAGTATACATACCAGACATACTTCAGCTCTCAATGGGCCATATTCATCCACGTGTGTGTGCACGTTTCTATCATATGCTACCTTTGGGGTGTGTGTCACTACCAACATGTTGAACTTTTTATTTTCAGACTCATTATCAGTCTGTTTTCTCAGATTCATGTGTTTTCATGTCTGGCTGAGCTGTTTATTATATCACCTCATGTCTGAAGTCATTGTAGCTCATTTTATTAAACTTCAGACAAAGTCGTATTTCATCAAGCCGATGAAAAACTTAAACTCATCTCTTTGAAGTCTTTCTTGCTCATATGAGCAGGGCTTTCAACAAAGAGACATGAAGGGTTTTGGTTTTCATCACACTCTGTGGAGTTCTTGGGTTGGTGGGAAGACATAAAGCAGTCTTTTCCATGTGTGTGTCCACTTGTCTGGTCTGTGCGTTGTCTTTTGAAGACTGCTCTATCTCTCCCTCCTCCTCCTCCTCACACGCTTAGATCTCTGCTGTCTGGCTTTGTGAAGTTTCACAAATTACTGCCACAAACACGTTAAATGAGAAAGAAACAAGCCTCTGTCTACTGTACATGCGACAGTATGGATGGGATACACACAATGGTTAAAGTCACAGAAACCGGTGAATGCTCATGTGGCATATGTGGTCAGCTTAGGTCCCTGGCTGTGAGAGGTATTGTCTTACTGTGAGACTGTAGAGATGCTCACATGTTTTCAATCAGTGGAAGGAATTTTGCAAGTGAGAATGAAACAGATGTATGTGTATCTGTGTCTCCCCTCACCTTCTTCTTGGTTAGTTTTTCTCTCCTGCTTGATTTTAATGAGTATTTAATTTTTCTTCCCTCCAGCTTTTGGTGTCCTCCCAGTCACCGTTTTCCACGACAGATGACATGTACCTAGAGGGCCGAACATCAGGCGACCTCCCTATAGATGATGAAGATGGAGAAGATGATGGCTCAGGCTCAGGATCTGGAGACTTCGGTAAGGAGACTTGTCTAACAAATGTCCTTGTTTTTTAATTATTTTGTCTTTAACCTCTATTGAATTGTAGGGGTCTGTTGGCAGAGGTATGCACTCTACTGGGTGCCATTCTAGTTCAGATTTTTAATGATTTAAACTATTTTTGGTCCACCTTTAAATTTCAGTTTTAGCAGTTTTAGAAAATATGTAAATTGAGGGTTCACTCATACATTGCAATTTTTGTTGATTAAAATTAACACATTAAAACCCTTTTAATCTGCTCTAATCCTCCAATGAAATGTCTTCAAATTTCCTTACAAGCAGCCCAACAGTTTTCCATTCATGCTGTTTTTCCTAATCTACTATCGATCAACCCAGTCACACGTCAGAAATGAGCAATGCTATTGTAAAAACAAGTGTCTGTAAGTTGAGACACAGAAGTCCTCACTGTGTGCCAGATGTCTGTCATCAGGTGATGTGAAGTGAACCAGGTGAGATTTTATTGGAGGTCCACAGATACTGTTTCTTTATTATGAATGACTCACTTCTACACCCGCTGTGAATCATGTGTTGGAACATTCAGCTCATTCAGAACATGCAGTGTGCCCCTAGTGTAAAGCTTACATTTGGTATAATGTGGTAAATTCCTTTAAGTAATAAAAGTCACGGGTTGCATTCCTCCTTGATCCTGCATGTTATAGAACTGCTTGGTAGAGTTCAAACATAGCATTTACTCCAAAATCTGTTCCTCTATCTCAGCTTACACTGATGCAGAGGAGTTACTCAGGATGTTCCTCAACTTCTCTAAGACCACAGTCTCCAAAGAAACCGTTCCACTGCAGCCGGAGCCAACGGCAGACTCTCCTCACATCCCACCAACCACAGCAGCCGACGGCCATGTTCACACAGCCACAGAGGAAACGACACCATACAAATTCCCTGATGGCAACAACGGCAATGAGGAGGTAGAGTGTTGCATTTCCTTTTATTTAAATCTGTATCTCAGTCACAAAATCTTTCTGGATTTGGCCCCAAAACAAACATTTATATATTGTAGACTATTTAAATTATTGAAACAAACATTTTTGATGATATGATTGCTAATTAAGGGTCTGCATCTTCAATGATTTTTCAGTGTTTTTTGGACATTGGTAAATATCAATAATCTATTGGTTTTGCAGATGTATATTTATCTGCATAACTCAAAGCCCATTCAAAATAAAAAACCATTGTAAACTTTTTGACATATGATGGTGAGGGTTTAGTTCAAGTTCTTCTGGAAGGTAACAGTAAAACTAAAAACTATGACTAATTTCGTTTTCACATTAAGTGTATGAAGATCCATTTCATGGACTAAATTGTGAAAGCTGTTTAGTATTTTAGACCACATGACGTTTCAAGGTTTTTTTTGACCCTACATTCTTATTCAGTTTATCAATATTTCAACTAAAGCATTGGTTCTCTCAGGTCCCTGGTATTGGCTCAACAACGGTTGGGTATCCTGAGCTCAGCTCCACCACTGAACCCACCACACATGTACCCATTGACATTGAAAGCGAATATGACGACAATAGTCTGGAAGAAAACATTGTCAACAAGGTTGAGGATGACAATGAAGATCTGGGCAATGAGCGAAGCAGGATATATGACCTGGAAGCTCCTGAAGAGGTGATGTCTGAGAACTTGTGGGAGAGAACAGACGTTTTGGCAGGTAAGGACAGAATTTCACAAACTCTTTTAAAAATATCAGGATTTAGGTTGATAATGATGAATAATTTTTGAATTTAGTGTCTGAAAATGATTTATCTTGAAGTAAAAAGTTCTAAATATTGACATCAGTGTTGGTCACACGAAAAATGTGAACAAAACATTAATATTCTTTTATGTCCTCTCCAGCGGTGATAGCATGCGGAGTGGTTGGATTCCTGTGTGCAGTTTTCCTCCTCCTCCTCCTCGCCTACCGCATGAAGAAGAAGGATGAAGGTAGCTATGACCTTGGAGACACCAAGGTTTCCTCAACAGCCTATCAAAAAGCGCCCACCAAGGAGTTTTACGCCTGAACTGACCAATAGGGACTTTAAATGTAATCTGTCACCTGCCATCAGGGCTGAAAATGGATCTATAAACAGCTGAAGATGAATCCTCTTGTTGAAGTTTGAAGTCAAGCACCTCTTCTCTTCTACAGTGCTCCATAAATGCTTTTATTTCTTTCATCTCTCTTATCCTCTTCCATCATTTTTTTCTCTCCCTCATGTTCAGGGTTTTTTTGTGAATAAGAGGTATTTAGAGAACAAATAGGACTATTAAAAATAGATTCCTGTAATTCCATCCCAGGGATGGAGTTAGACATTTAATTCACATCCTAAATTGTAAGAAAATAATCTACTTTAAAGTATCGATAACACTGTGCCTTTAAACTTACATATTTTTTTAAGATGAAGCATGTGGGGCTTTACTTGGTTCTGCATTACAGACAAATCGAATGTCTCATTTAGCGTAACTGGGTAGTCCAAGTTCAAAGGAACAACACGAGGGAGTAAATGTATAACATATGGGATTATTATAACAAAGAACCTTTAAACGTTGACATCCTTTGCCCTTTATTTGAGGTCAGATTTGCTTAGTTTAACAGCTTGCATTGTTACATTTCATTTTCTGTACGCTTTGCTGAATCGAAGATTTTATGTCACTATGAAGAATGAATATGTTTTTTTTCCATATGCTGCCCAGTATTGGAGTGAGAGATTTTGCTACTCTGCAGGTACTTTCTGTATTTTTTGTTGTTTTCTCACATATCTTTGATACTTGTAGAACTGGCCAAATATAAATGTTCTATATTTGTGTTTTTGGAAAAATATTTTTAATTGATTTTTTTTTTAAGTGTTTGCATATTTAGAGATTATATTTCTGTACGCAAAGAGATTTCAGTCTTTTTATTCCACTCATACAGTGTTAACCTTGAGCAGGTAAAAGCTCCTCAGCCTTGTATCTGTCCAACATTAGAAATATTTTCAGGAGTTTTTATTTTTGGTGCAGCAAATGTGGGACAGCGTTGCTAAGGTAGAGCCAAGGTTAATCACTATCATTCACAAACCGTAGAAGTGACCAGTGTTGTCCGACACGAGCCAAAGCACATTCCTGTCTTACTGTCAGCTGTGTACAGTTGTAATGACGGGTTCGACGTTAAAGGGACAGAGGCAGCATTGTTTTCTACAGTTTATAGAGTCACTTTATTCAAATATGATCGTTTAAAGATTTGTTTCTTCCTACATGTCATAAGCAGTGTACACCATCAGGAGTTTCCAACTCTGTAATGATGACAGTGCCAGTCTGAATGTAACCATGTCAGGTTTTAAACATGTTTCCTAATTCTAAGTCTATACCTCAACCAGCCAACCAGAGGTGTGTTGGATCCTCTAGAGCTTTAATAAGGACACAGTTAACAAGGCGTTATTTCCTCTTGTTAGCACATACTTTTTTACTTGTGAATACCATGTAAGGAAGTATATTTTAGTGGAAATATTTGGGATTTGCACCATGTGTAGACTGAGGAATTTTATTCAGCTCCCTACTGCTTATTATGTGTTAAAGAGGAACACTTTTTACATCAGCCTCTAATTTAGATTGGAGAAATGTTGTCTTGAAGCTCCGTTGGTGGCCGTACATTCTTAATGGGTTGGTGAAATTTGGTTTATCAAGATGACTGAGTGGATGATACAAACAAAGAGGTGGGGGTTAATTGGTTAAACTATGATTTGACCTGCCGTTAACACATTCGTATTAAAATGACATTGATTTCAGAGTTTGCCCTGAGTTTGTTGACTTTGAGTTAAATGTTAATAAGAAATGTTAAATCGTTTGTTTATTTTCCGTTGTTAAAGCTCACTGCCCCATCTGTTGTAGAAATGTTTGTTTATTTTAACAGTTTGACTACCTTCATGTCTGATGCCACATCTATCTTTAATGCTTAAAATCAAGGCTACTTAATAGTTTTTTTATAACTGCCTTGGTCATAATAGATTTATAGCTGACTATCTGAATTCAAATGCAAACTACCTATTTACTATGGCTGGAATAAACAGGACGATCTGATCACTGACCCTAAGTGACTAACTGTTGATAACTTGATATTTGTTGGCCTCTTGAATCCTCAGTGCCTTGCAATTCATTGTCTACATTAATGCAGTATTAGTGTCATGCTTTGACCTTCACGCCGTACAGAAGTTCTCTGTTGTCAGACATGAATAATACCTATAAGGTTTTAAGACACTGCAGTGCTGGCAATCCAACAGACAATAACTTTCCTCTTCTTTGATCTCTGTAAGTTTATATGATATGTACATGTTACCATAATTTATATGTATTAATTTATACTTGCAAAGACTATAGTCCAAGTTAGTTTGTCAGTGATAAATTGGTATTGTACAGTATTTACTCATGGTCAAGGCCTCTTCATGCCTACTGCTCAGTTTGTTTTTTCAAATTTGTTTGTCAAAGTATTTCAAAGATAAACTTTCGTTTAGTTTTTTTTTCTCTGAATGGCTTTAAAAAACAATTAAAGTTAAAAAAATAAGTTTATTGTGATTATTTTGCAGCTTAACTTTTCATTTTGATCAAAGTCGAATGAATGGACTGAAGCCTTGAATTAACAAATCAACACAGACACAATGGTGAGGACCAACCAAAAATCAAAAAGATCTACGTGTATGTGCAAGATGCGACATACAGAGAACCATGTTGCTGAAGTGGTGTATCTTATGAGGTTCTTTACTGAATAAAAGATGTGGCTTTAATGCAATGCTCAAACTGTCATTGTTTTGTCATGGGGGACTGATGTGCCATCCTATGTTCCTTCTTTCCTTTTGGACACACACAGGACAACATTTATTCACTGAACAGCATGTTTGCTAATGCTCAACAATGTCTCTCATACTTTCTGCTCTTTCATTTTTCCTTTTTGTTGTATCTATCATATAAAAAAATCTGTGTCCTCATTGGGCACTCAAGTCACAACTTTATAGCCACAAATCCAATTTTGCCACAAATCCAAAGCAAAACCAAAGGATACAATAATAATGTCCTTTCTACATTTAGTCAGCTGCTGGTAAAAACACTCAGATTTTAGTTTTAAGTAGTCAAGCACCATTTGTTTGCACAGTAGCTCAGAAAAAACATTTCCCACTGACCTCAAGAAATATCCTCTTACAAACGTAGGTGCCAGAAAAAGAGGCAACGTGTGAATGGAGCCAAATGGTCAGACGTTTCCAAAACCCAGTGATGCAGAGAAGAAAAACACAAATGGCAGAGAAAAGAGGAGGCTCGTGAAAAGCAGAGTGTCCTGTATCATTATGTGAAAAGCAAATGGAAGAGGAAAACTATGTCACCTTGAATATGACCATTCCTTACAGGGTACTGTTTGGTGGAGCATGTAATCGACTGCAGATTTTTGATGGTAGTGAGGGTGGGGGGCAAATTGGAATCTGGGCAGTGATGTGCTTTGTTTTTGCAGAGTAGATACAAAACATCATTACCTTATTGTCCATTGACCAACAATATCAGAATAACATCTTCTCAGAAGGTGAACTATGCTATAACTGGAGTGTGACATTTCCATTGAAATGTCAGGTTTGGAACAAGTATAAACCTGGAGAGCTCAACACATTTGTTCCTGGTTTACATTTGGAACTTCATATTTTGGTTTGTCCAGATCCATTTTACTTAAATGTTTTTATGAAACAAACCTGAACAGCATGTTGGTATGGAAACCAAATCATTAAATGATTAATATTGATATAGTGCTCATTTTAACTGTAGATCTAAGTTTGTGTGTGTGTGTGTGTGTGTGTGTGTGATTAAAGAATGTAAATGCAATAGTGTAATTTGCTGTATATTATGTTATGTATAATATATATGAGACATATAATAGATTATGTTATGTTGGGCATTTAAAAAGGGGGAAATAATTCAAAATAAAAAGGCTCAGAAAAAAACTGCCTCAACTAATTGAACAGTATCTAACACATGTAATATATGTTGTTCTTGTTTATATATTGAGTTAGTTTTGTGATATTGTCTATTCTTAAAATGACTATGCTTTCATTGTGAAAACAGACAGACCGGAAGTATACTGTCGTTATGCACTTTTACGTCACGTGGACGGAAGAGTTTACGTTCGTGTGTTGTGTTTTGGAACTTATTTCTTTTAGACTCTTCAGTGCGGTGATCTGTAACAAACACACTGACGGTGGCCTCAAAGGTTTGTGTTTGTTCTATTTCATGGACGTTTGGAATAAATATATTTATCACCATCGTCACTGTTTGTTAAAGCTGCAAACGATCCAACATTGAAACATCTCTGTGGAGAAATAGTCTGTCGATGTGACGAGAGATCGTTTCAAAGTGATCGTGTTGCCTTCATGTGGATTTGTTGCGATGCGGGATCGATCGTGTGTAGCTGTTAACATTGACTGTGTTTGAATCATTGAATGTGTTTGCATGGCCAATTTCTCTCTATCATTTACAGTCACTCTGGTTTGTCTCTGTCCACAGATGAGGACTCAGGAGGGGAAACACTTCTTCCTCCTCTTCCTCCTCTTCCTCATGCTGTCATCTCTGTGTGACTGTCACCCTCACTTTGCTCTGCCCAAGAATTCAAGATCCAATGATACTGAAAGAAAAGGTATTGAAGCTTCCCTCACACCAGCAGTTTAACCATAGACTTTGTTATAAATAACTATAAATAAAAAGAAAACAAGAATACAACCAAATATATCTTGATTATCATTTAGAAAATGAACGTACTTTTATCAAAAACATTAGTATAAATGCCAATTTTTACTGCATTGTTTACTCTGTAATATAAACGTTTTCAAATAGTATTTTCACAAATACAACCAAATACATAAAATATAATAGTCATGAAGAAACTAGACAGTTACCAATATGTCTGAACGTCTCATATCGTTGGACTATATTGACTAATCGATAAATGAGTTGGGCTTGAGTGTTTCTTTGAATATTATAAAAAGCAGTGGCACAGAAATCAAGTGGTTAAATAAAGATGCCAAACCACTGTCCCTTCATTTACAGATTATGTTGAAACTGGAAAATTCTAATATATTCCCATCCCAGCCTTTTATCATTGAATCATTCTGAATGTGGTGCAAAGTCTACCACCACTAATTTATACTGTACAAAGCATCATGTTCATATTGCTACTTCAACTTATAAAACCTGAGCTTTTCAACAGCACTTTGTCTCAGCATTTATACGAAGCTTTAGAGTTATTCATTCTAGAAGACATACGACTCACTGTTTTTTGAATCTTTGGCTTAAAACGATTTTGGAAAAGTTCTTCTTCGGATTTGTGGATGTGACCTAACTTTCTTTCTGTGTGTGTGTTTCTGTGCAGCTTCCCATGTAGCAGCAGAGGTAGCCGGCTACACTGATGTGGCGAAACAGATCATTGACCTTGCTGTGTTCGGTGCTGCCCAGAACCGCTCCTACAGACGCCTGGCTGACTTCACTGACACTATAGGGAACCGTGTCAGTGGCTCACACAATCTAGAGATGGCTATCAAATACATGTACACTGCTATGACGCAGGATGGGTTGGATGTCCACCTGGGTGAGTGTGTGTGCAGTTTGCTCATATCGAAGAATCTCTAAACGTGGGGCCTCGTTCATCCTCTGCTGAATGTGAGTGGTAAGATTTTTTTTTGTGTCCTGTGGTGCGGTTTCTTCTCCAGAGCCTGTTAAAATCCCACACTGGGTGAGAGGGGAGGAGAGTGCACAGATGATTGTGCCAAGGGCCAAAAGTTTTGCTATACTGGGCCTGGGCAGCAGTGTGGGAACACCACCTGAAGGTAAATCACCGTATCGAATCATCTTAATCATCTGCCGTCCACGTCCCTCTCACTCTCCCTCCCCGGTCTCCCTGTTATCTCTGCAGGTATCGAGGCAGAGGTGTTAGTGGTTGAGTCTTTCCTGGAGTTGAGGCGTAGAGCCAGCGAAGCTGTCGGGAAGATCGTGGTCTTCAACCAGCCGTTTGTCAGCTACGGGTTGACGGTGGTGTACCGAGCTTATGGAGCCTCAGAGGCAGCTAAAGTGGGAGCTGTGGCCTCGCTAATTCGATCTATCACCCCATTCTCTATTAACAGGTATCTACACTGGTAATCAATAATCAGAGGGTAATTGATCCAATCAAAGCAGGAGGCATTAAGGAAAAGTTTGAATTACAGTTTATATTTTTTAATAGTAATTTAATTAATTGGTTAATGTGTTACTTTACTTTTGCTTGAGTACATTTTGGTCTATTTATTTGCACCTAAGTAAAATGAGTGTACCATCATTGCTTATTTATTTAACTTCTGAATGTTATCATAGCATTTGATTCTAATTGTGATCTTTTAATTAATGGACTTATTGGTTATAGCACAGCATATTTCACTGTTAGTAATATGATGTATAAATATTTGGTATATTTATCAGCAGCTGCTAGCTCATCACATATGGTGGCTCTGGGTTTTGTTCCAAATTGGCCCTTTGCTGAATGTCTTCCCCCATTCTTTCTTCCCATTTCATGTGTTCTGTCCAAACAATAAAAATATCTGAGCTTTTAAAAAAAAAAGCACCAATGAAATACCAAAGACAGGGCTGTCCATGTGTCTGTATGAACTATATGGAAAAAAACACCCACGTTCTGGTTGTTCAACCCCAGCTTTTTTATCAAATAGTGTGTTTAGTCAACAGCAACATTTCACCGTCTGCCTTTTCCCTCTCTAGTCCTCACACAGGTTGGCAGGACTACCAGGATGGAGTAAAGCGCATCCCTACAGCCTGTATCACTGTGGAAGATGCTGAGCTCATGTGGCGTTTCGCACAGAGGGGGCAGAAGATCGTGGTCAGACTCATGATGGGAGCCAAAACTCTGCCGGATGCCGACTCCTTCAACACAGTGGCAGAAATAAAAGGCTGGCAGCACCCCGAGCAGGTGACACCCACTCACGCTCCCAATGTTTTAGTTTTGAGGTAAATCTGGTGGGTGGCTCCTCTAAGTAAATAATTACACTCTGGGAAGAAAGACTTTGGTTCTTTTCTTCCTGTCCTCCTTAGTTAGGGTTCAAACCTTTTTTTGCTGAGTCCTGATCTTCCCACAGATATTTAGTCTGCCTTTATTTTGCCAGTGTGTGTGTACGTGCACTAAAGCTTGGCTCAGCTGGAAAAAGGAGAAACGTCACTCTCAGTCATCCAGGGCGTTTCTATGGAAACAAGGGTGTATAAACAAATTCATTTTTTTTGTATGTATTTGATGTTTTTAAAATAATCCAGGAATTACAAGGTTTTAAAATTCCCATAAAGTAATACCCGCATTAATGAATCCCTAAACTCTGACTGTATTAAATTATTTATACAAATTATAAAGCCGACATTACTGCATTTTTCCTACATCACTGCATTTTTTTCTGTTCTGGCCAGTCTAAACAACTCAATGAAAATTATAGGCCTGCTGAAATTAAGCCATCCTTGTATGGTATGAGCAGAGTTGTCAGTTGTGAACACATGGTAATGTGAGCTAACTGAGTGAAGTGTTTTCTGTAAAGCAGACTACAATCCTTCTCTTTGTGTTTGATTTTCATCGTCAGGCTTTGTAAAATAGTGCTAATCAGCTGTGTGAACTCATGAATCGGTGAGAATGGGTGTAAACTCATGCAGGAGCAATGACCTGCAACCAGGACAAACTTAATCTGATCCTAACATGCACTGTGCAGAATGTGCGGTCACCCCAGGCAGGTTGTTAGTTAGACAGACCGACTACGTGCAAATTATAGTTATAGTTCTTTCTTCACTGGCAGACTCAGTCGTAGAATTAAATGGCAAATTATGCTCTAAATCAAAGGCTCATCACCGCTCAACACGTGTGACCCAGTTTACAGCTTTGCAGTCAAGTGTCACACACAGCTCCTCTGCCCATATCTGGATCCAGACTCGTCTAGCAGGTACAACCTAACCAACAGATAAGGTCCTGCTGCAGTAAGGATGCAGCTAAGGAGCGACTGTGAGAGCGACCCTTTAAAAATATCACCCTACTGGTTATAGTCGTGGACCATGCTGAGCAAACAAGCCAGGTTGTCATGGATACCAGAAGATACAATGAAATTGTATTGATAAATGTGTTTACAAATTAATTTATTGATCTATAAATACATAGGCTGTGTCCAAAATCACTCACTATAGTCTGCAATAAAGTGAGTTT